TTTTTTTTGCTAATTTTCTTGTTTTTAATCATTTTTCACTTTTTACGAATTTCTTGCTAATTTTTTGGGTCATTTCTTCTTTCATTGCTCATTGCCTTCTTCCCATGTTTTACAAAGAACTTAAGTCAAATTGCACAAGTGCACGTCACTATCTTAATGTAATATTACCAGCATTGTGTGCTACACATGCTAGCAAACTACACTGTTATTAAAATAATTCAGTTGACTTTTAGTTTCACACAAAACACTGACAACGGTCTCCCAGTTAAAAGTCCAGATACCCTGTGACACCAACCCTGAATGGACTTTCTCGCTCTTTATACGAAGACAGTCCCTTGGAGTTTAAAAAAAAAATGCTGCCGTCTGGTACATCTCATACTGTCGCTAAAGGGTGCCTTGGTGTGTCAGTATCTGACGCCAAGAGCCACTGACCAAGGATTGGTAATTGACAAGCTGGGAGTGAGACTGGGTTGGATGTAAAGAACATCTGTCGGACCTATAGGCACTGTGGGACAGGCTCGCTTAGCAACAAAATGGCCTTTTTTTCTAGTAATATGCAACGTGGTGTCAATGCAGTTGCAGTTTTAAAGGACTTCGCGGACCACCACAGTTTGTACAGCCCCATAACGGTGAAATATGAAATAGTCTTTGAAATTTAGACCACCATGCTTGGAACCTCACCTGTGTTTTCTTCTGTTGTATTGTACAGTATCTTCTTTTGTTTAATTACTGGTATAAAACAGCGTCTCTATTCTATTGGGGTTTATTTATTCATTGAAAGCACAGTGACCCTGAAACGTGTGGACAGGTAGTTAAGTCATCTCTTTCTTCCTACAAGGATCTGTCGAGTACACCTTATTTTCTGGAAGAGAATTTCTTACTGTACTCAGGTTCTTTTTTCCTATTATGTATTGGGTCTCAGGAGAGCCACTGCTGTAGACATACTGCTGTAATATGTGTGATAATGGCTGTCACTTCTTCAGCCTCGTTCCTTTCTCATCTCCCACCTCTATTCTCCTTCTACATCTCTGCTGCTTTGCCCTTTGTTCCAGCGACCATTTTGCTTTTTATAGCCAAATGAAATTGAAAGCTTGGTTTATGTGGATGTACTAACCTAAAAAAGACGCACCACTAATGTAATTAAACCCTGGTCTTCTTAGAAGCTTTATTTAATCACTTTCTCTTTCTGTAAGGTTGTTGTTTTCCTTTCTCATTCTCGGTTTCTTTCTTCTCCTGTGTCTCATCTTCAAATTTCTCAAAGCAAGGAATGTTGGAAGTCTTAATCGACAACCACCATTTAAAAGAAACAAAAAATCATCAGCTTAAAAATTGGTTGGGGATGAGAAGATCACTAACTCTAAATGAGGGTAAGCTTTGTTTTAAATGACAAAGAAATTCCCACTTCATGCACCCACACTGTACACGTACACCCAAAATAACACAAACATGCATATTTGCTGAAACTGTAACACACAAGCACACACATCTAACTATGAAACATGCCATAAATATGCATCAATGCACTTTTCATGCTGCTCGTATGTAAAGCTAATGAACTCTTTAAAGACTCATTTAAGTTTTAACAAGGTACATCTTTGAACCGGCTGAGTAAAACAGACTTTTTTAAGCCTATTTCCATAATGAGGAACATTAGCTATCAATACAAAATGTCCTTCCTTTGTCTTGCTCCAAACTAACGTGATTTATCTGACACACGCCTGCATGTGCTGTACACAATCACTGTGTGAAACAATTAATTGGTTGCCTGTACAGCACAGCGTAGGCTAATTAGTGGATATCACTGTTTCTATTCCTGTGTTCCACCCTTTGGAGACTAAACTCGTGGCCCTTGCTAACGCCCTGTGGTTGAGGAAACAACGCTGCACAGGCCTTTACCACTGAAGTTCTTCAGAGCCAGCTGAGCCAACAAGCTTCTTGTTTTTCTCATGCATAAGAGATTAAATAGCTCCTGTGAATTTAGGAGTAAATGAGCATGTACACTGTAAGTGTGGTGTGGATGGCAGTTCCAGGGCACCTTTGAGTTGATATTTCACTGATCAGCAAGCACGGGTCCAATTTTGGATACTAAGTTCATACTGTAGGCTCCGAAACCTTTAAAAGGGAAACTTTGTTGATTTTCAACCAGCTTTGTGTGATTGCAGCAGTCAGTTTGTGCAGATGAACAGTGTTTGCTTCTCCCCTGTGCTGCAAGCGCCCGCAGCACTTCACCACACACCTGCTAACATAATTCCGCTAGGTGACGGACCTCCGCTGGTGAATGAGTGGGAAGTTCTGGGGGCTTGCATCACAAGGGGAAGCTTAACATTGTTCTGCACACATAGCCTACACTGCGACGACACAGAGCTGATTGTAAACCTGCAAAGTTTCCTTTTAAGCCCTAAAACCTTAGGACCTATATGTAAATTAATTTAATTTTATGTATTTAAGAGGCTCAAAGTGTTTGAGAATGTTGTGGCCCATCAGCATGAAGTGTGGATGCTTTATATAAATGCTATTTTGCTGTTGTTATTATTAAGTGTTCCCTTAAATTTTTTGTGTTGATTTCTTAAGTTGCACTCTGTATGTAGTAAACTTCAACAATCCATCACGGTGGACATATCTACTAGGGAGTATGCTGAACATCTTCCATTTTAATGACTGCATCTGGCAGAGAAGTGACGGATTTACTCCGACCTTAAATTCTAAACACGTCAAACACCACTGTCAAATTAAAAAAGTGGCAATGCTTACATACCATGGACCCATTACAGACGCTATGGAGTTGCACAAGAATGATTACAGCATCTTACAAATCCACAGCAGGGGTGAGACCAGTACTAGACGAACATTAGTCGGAAAGCCGACTATTAAAGCAGAGTGGTTGTAATCCCAGACTCCACCTGTGACAGGTCTGCTGTAAATCAACACTCCTTTCCCTACAAACAATTTGAGGTAATCCTGTGTCTACATATGCATTACATCAGACATGTATAAGAGCAACGTAACGCCTTTGACTTAAAAGACAAAACCACAAAAACAGACCATGACTTTTTACTTGTCTTTAAAGTTCCATACCGCATCAGTCCTGATGCATCCACTTACCTCCGAGATACTAAAGACTAGAGGTGTTGGTTAGAGAATAACTCATGAAGTGGAAAGTGAATCCAACTGTATTTTGTACTGCCCAATCTATGATGGTTTAAGAGGGAGTTTGCTGGCTTTGTCTCAGTATTCATCCAGATTTCTACAGCACTTCATGGTAAATGTTTTTGGCAGTGATTTATGGATTTTTTGGTAGACAGTGGAGGTCTGAAGGTTCAATTGTCTTTTTTGTTGTAATATTAGCAGTAATATTGTTTTAAAATGTATATAGAGCGCTCTGATCTGGCTCATTTAAATTCATGGTGTCTTGCACTGCAAGCCTAAGTGGGTTTAGAATAGTTTTATGCATGATACAAGTGTTAAAACTTAATTCATTCATGCATTAATTCAGTCATAACGCAATATATACTATTCATCAGTCACGGGAACTCACTGTCTGTGAAGACAAGGCTAGATGTTTAATTTTCTATAGTGGGGTGATTAGGTCTCTGGTTTCTATGGTCTTGAATATCATGGACAGCATTTTGATAGACAGAAAACCCTCATGATAGCTTTAATAAGATTAATGAGAACGGACGAGGGCCTTGGAATCTGTGATGTAATCCTGTGACAGACCTCCAGCCAGTTTTATGTATCCACAAGTTGACTGTAGACTGTAATTTAAATTTAAATTAATGGGAAACCACTGGGTGTGTGGAAACTTTGTATAATAGTGAAAAGTAATGCAGATGATTTGCAATTTTTATTACATTTTTGATTAAACTCGCAAAACCAGCAGCACAGTCCGCAGCAAATGTGTGGTGAACATTATGGTAATCAGGATATATTACTTACACATTAAGTGGTTGCCAGGCTGGCCACTGTGCTTTCATTTTGATGACTGTCAGGACCTCATCACCCTGCAGAAGAGAGACAGACAAAAAGACACAAAAACTCAATCTCAGTCCCCCCGAAGTAATCGACATTTCACGCTTGAACCATCACGCTTCACAGGTGAATGATTAAAAGGGATCAATGGAAGACTTCTGCCATTTCCACACTTTAATCTATAAAGTCATTATGGTCAGTGGGTAAAGATGGTCTGTGTGGCCAAAAGATTCCACTTTTTAGATTGGGCTTTGCTTGAGTTCATCTGCCTCAACATGCTTTTGAGAGGTGAGCGGTGGTTGGCACATCCTTAATACAAAACGTGCATACAAGGATCACCTCTTGTCAATAAAGGTCTGATGTAATTGGCATCTAGTGGTGAGGTTGGAGATCGTTACCAACTAAAACTCCCATTTGCCAAGCATGTGGGAGAAGTTCAGTGGCAACAAAAAACACAAATGGCCCAAAACAGACCCAGTGTTTGCTTTGTCCATTCTGGGCTATTGTAGAATAGAGTGTGACTCGGACCGCATTTTCCTAAACGAACCCGATCCAAGTCTGAGACGGTTATAGTCAAGCCTGGCCCGACCCTGACAGACTTCCTCGAGCCTGATGCAGTTTGTTACCTGACAAAGTTATTGTTATCATGGTGATCACACAGGGACATTGTGAAAATGACCATCAAAAGGCTGCTGTTATACACAGTCAAACACGCTGCAGCCTGTGTTGCTTTCAGGCTTTGTTAGGTGAATAACAAATTCCAGCACTTGAATAGGCCATAGCACAACACAGCAGTATGTGGGCCGAAAGATAACAATGGCGATCTGAACCGGTCAGTGGCGAAAAAAAGTACTTTTAATGTGCAAACTTAAACGGGACGCATTTGCCCCTGTTACCGTTTTAGCTCGTTTCGCAGCTCCCGGCTGCATCCCTCAATACTGAACCAATTTTAGAACGAGTTGTACCTATGAATCATACACACACATACACATGGGGAAATAGGGCCCAGGTTGAAAAATACCAAAGTTGTCCTTTAACTAACAGAAGCATTTGGTGTCATGTCATCTGGTAGCTTTAATAGAAGATATTTCAAACATGTCTGACGCTTGATGTTCTGTATGCTCTTGTGCTTCTTTAAAAGTAAATGTGACTAAATAATATCTCGGTCAATGTCGGTGGTCACGAAGATGATAGTTAAGAGTTGAAGTGTTGCCCCCTTTCAAAGAGCTTTTCTTTTTGGATGTTTTATAGACAGCGTGACCATCTCTGATTTAGTTTCCTTCCGCACTCTTTTGAAAACTAAAATATGACCCCACTTCAAACTTAGTCCTTTTAAAAGGCTGAAAGAATTTTCCGGAGTGCTGTCACAGCCTACGGCCATGCTTTAATTGACGAACAACAAACCCACCTTGCATGCTGCACCTGGGTGCCTGCATCTGGCAGACTGTTGCTAAGCTTGGTTGATGCTGAAGAGTGTTTACCTTGAGTTTTTCAAAGACAGTTTTGTTGATAATAAAAATTGAAAATGGTTACACTAACCTTCAGGAATTTTACTTTTTAAGGTTTATCATGAAATCGGTGTGCGTCTCATCCTTAATAGTAAATGGGGTTATGCATACAATAACTGAAGTGAAGACTGCCAGGGACACCAGCAAAAGCAAAGTCCACAAAAGGGAGCACAATATCATGAAATCCAATAAAATGACACGACAGCGACTGAACACGGACATTATGAGCTTGACAAGTACAGTATTTACTGCTGAGCTATCGTGTTATTGTTTTTAACCTCTGTTGGATACATTTTATGTTTTGGCATTGCAATAAAACAATAAAGTACTCTTTCTTTTGAGCACCTTTTGTGTTAACAGCGGAACATCAGACTGTATTTGCCCTCAGGTACAGAGATATGTATGCTCAGGGCAGACACATGAGAAGCAGAAAATCTGTCATGTTGAAAATGAATTTTGCCGATGAGAGGATCGATCAAACTTGCAACCATCTAGTCAAACGCCCAAAGAGGGGATCCACAAATGTTCCTTTGACACAATGCCAAACAGATGAAAAGAGTTTACTTTTCATGCAAATTAAAGGAGTCTAAGGATGTTTACAATGTGCTGAGTTGTTGAATGGATGTCAGTAACCCTACTTCCTGTGGTCAGAGAATAATGTTTGTTCCAGTAACCAAAATGACAGCCCCCCCCCCCATCTCCTGCTCCGTGTTATTGAATTACATTGCAGCAAATCTGACAGGCTGATAATAAGCACAGCACACTAATCCTATTTCAGATTCAGGGATGTTACTGATGGGCTGTGCCTGTGCTGAGGATTCACATATCATGTACTCAGGCTTTTTGCATGTTTCCACCCCAACACTGTTGCATTCTCAGGGAAGCTTTATACTTTCGAGTAAACATTTCAGTCAGCATTAAATCAAACTTAAAGTGAACAGCATTTGACAAGTGCAAAAATAAAAGAAGTCACAGTGCCACTTTCTGTTCAGGTTCTCAAGTGAATTCAAAGTTGGTTCTTCTACATAAGGAACCATGCTTATCTGTCTTGAATATACACACAAGCTGTGACAGTAATGAAGCTTCTCAAGGTACTGCAGATAAATATTTAGAAAGAATAAACTGTGTTTGAATCAGACCATCTCTGTCTTAAATGTGATCCAGGACAGAGGTTTTTACCAACCAACAGCCCTGACTAAACATGAAAAGAAAAGGAGCTTGGAAATACACGTCTAATGAAGAACAGAGCTTGTAAATCTTTCTGTAAGACCTTTAGAGAAACACATATCTCACAACCTGCAGCGTCCGAGACGCTGGGAAGGATCACTATTATAGTGAGCGAGCTAAAAAAAAAAAACACCCTCACCGACAATTTAGTCTTTTGGCAGCCATTTGCAGAACAAATTGAACTGTCAAGATGCGACTCGTAACTGCTGAAAAGGACACATTTCATGTTCTGCAACCTGCAACCCCAAAAACAACACAACAGTTTTCTTCATCTCTGTCTCTCTCTACTTTGCTCTTGAACATCCCAAAATAACCACACCTGAATGGCAGCATAAACAACAGGCTTTTGAATCACCCAAGCCTCCTAAAATCATGGAAATTTAGCATTCTGCTTCTGCTTTGAAGGTGAAAAAAGGTGAGAAAAATGCATTTCTACACTATGAAGTGATTATAAAATATCAAAGAGGAGACTAGTGTGTGGATTTGCGGAGTGGTGCAACTCTGAACCTCACTGATAAGATAATTTTTTGTTACTTCTTAGGAGAGTGTGGATGCGGCTCCTTCCCCAAAGTGTTAGTAAGTCATGCTGGTGAGGGCACCTCTTTTAACGGGGATCAGAGGAGCTGATGTGATTGGATGTAATTGATGCCAGCTTTTAACCATTCAAGAAATATCAGTGGGCACACTGTGTGCCCCTGGACATAAAAACACCACAAGACCACTGCATAATATGACAGAAAAACTAGTTAGCAACATGTATGAAAGTAAAACGCCAACTTTTCTTGGCTTTTTAAAGTAGAGCTTCATGTTTCAGGCTATGATGCTCATCAGTAGCCTCTAATCAGTTATCAAATACACACATTAGCCTCGAGACCTTTCACACAAAAAACATTTTATTTGCAATTACTGTTGCGCATGTATTACATATGTATATCAATGTATTAATAATATAAACTGTGTGGAGGGTAAAAGCAGCACTTTCACTCCAGCATTAATAAAAATCCAAACAAGAAAGCACATTTTTCCTCGACCTTTGACACCAGACAATAAAACCTCTCCACTATCTCTTACATGAAAGCTGCACATCCACTGGCCACTGAATGGAATCACCAATCCCTTCTTTCCAGCATCGGAAGATTATGAGGGCTGGAGATTCAGTTTGAACCCTTTTCCACAAAATTAGCTCTGGTTTTTGAACTGATGCCTCCCAGGATTCTTGAAACTTTGGTGTAGGGATGCGCGATAATATCAGCTCATCATCGGTATTTACTAATATTGGCTTAAAAATTAAATATCAGACTCAGCCAACATGCTGATAATACTGGCACATCATCAGTATCGGCCAATATCAGCTTGAAAATGAACTATTAGAATCAGCCAACATGCTTTTCCTTATTTTGCACAATGAATGAATATTACATACACTGAAAAGCATTCTATTTCATGTCTCCATCTGCTGGTGGGCCATCACAAAAAGAGTATGCACGCATAACATGATGTTAATTCCACTACTGAAGAGACCTGATGATCACTAAACTTAGGCGGGGAAAAAGTGGATATATCAATATAGGTATCGATTATTGGTTAGATGAATTGTTATAGATCGGCATGTTGGATATCAGCAAAAATTCAGTATTGTGCATCCCAACTTTTGTGCCATCTAGCAAAGTAGCCTACATTTCCAACAGTTTTGAGAGGAACCATTGTAATCAAGGAGTAACAAGATAGCATTGGTTTCCTCTATCAGCGAGCTTTTGTTCTGTTGTTACAGATATTTATTTTTCTTCAAAAAACATGAATTGACCAACTATAATTGAGAGAACTGCATGTTCTTTTTCCTCACAATTTCTCAATTGATTTCTCTATTGTTGCCTTCTCCATCCTCTCTTTCCAACCTGTAGAATATGACCCACTGTTTTCGTCACAGTTCACAATTCAGGTCAAGGAAAACCTGCTATTTTTTGGTCCCAGCTGGGAACCAACTTTTTGTACTTTGAACCAATATATTTTTGGTCAAAATAGTCTGAAAGGTTCAAAATTAGGTGTGTGAACTGGAACAGGACCCATTCCATGTTTGTGGAAAAGGGGTATTAGACTCCTGGCTTAAGCGTCTCCACTGGTGACACAGTTGCAAAGTTCATGGCTAAAGAGCCAAGGACACTGAACACTCAAATCAAACTGAACCTTTTCAATTACTTCAGCAAAAACTTACTAAGTTACCCATTTTCTCTGCACTAAACTGTCTCATCCCAGAGGTAAGCCACCATGAAACTCTGAAAAGCATTTAGACTAAACAA